AAACAATAGGCGTAACTATGCGCACATTCATTAGAGTATTAATATTTAGATGATCTATTTATAACATTTAATTGCGCAATCATGTTAATTTGTCTACATTAAAGTATATTAACGCGAATATTTTTGGGAAAATAATGTCACGGAGAAAATTTTATTTCGCAGATTGGGAAAAAAATTATACGAGGGGAAAATACTATTTCGAAATAAACTTTTTTTTAAAAAAAGTAGTTTGGCCGAGAGGAAATTTTATAATGTAATAAGCAAAAATATTTGCGCAAAGCCAATTTTTTGCAGACCCTCTCTTCCCATCCAAATGTACTTTATAAACAATCGCTTGTCAAAGACTTTAAACAAAAGTGAAATTTAAAATTAATAAACGAAAATAAAAATTTAACTTTTGCGTACTTTTGAAGCTTAAGATTTAAATAAGCCATTTATCGCTTATCTATTTTATGTCTTCAAAAGCTAATTTGTTGTAGGACAGGTTGATTTTTAACTTTTTTTGAAAAATGGACATTGGACTAGTTAAGATAAATGCATTTTATAAGCATTAAAGTTGTATAAAAATTTTAACTTCCCATTTTGCAACATTTTTTGGAGGAAACTGTATTATATGTAAAAATATAGCATTATCACCGAGCCTCAATAGTAACACTTATAAAGTCCAAGTATATTTGACTTTGAGAAAACAGCAAAAAACTAAATTACTTTTGGTTGCGCATCAACAGAAATAGATAATTTCTCTGCCCAATTTTAGGCCCAAAATTTTTTAATTGGTTTAGTATTTTATGAAATGATAGATTTAAATATATAGAGCGTGAAAATAGTATAAACTCAAAATTTTTATTTTTGTGGCTTATCGCGTTTAGCAGATGGGCTCCTAAAATATAGGTAATACATAAGCAACACCATTAAAAGAAAGACAATTTTAACTTCTTAAGACTTTAGATATTTTTTACTATTGCTACTTAAAATTTTAATTTTGTTACTTAAATTAAGTAACAAAAAAAGTAATAAAATAATCTAAAAAAATAAAGAAATAAATAAAAGAAAGTAATAAAATTTCCTATTTTTTAAGACTCAGGTTGTCTATATTTATTCAAAATAAAGTCAACTTGGGTGTTTATAAATATTCTATTTTTTTAAGACCAAGATTAAATATATTTATTTAAAATATAGTCAACCTGGGTCTCAAAAAACAAGAAATCAAAAAAAAAAATCCAGGAAAAAATTTATTTTCCATTTTTAGTAACAAACAATATTAAAAAACCCAAACAGATGGGTTTTTTTTATATTGTTTGCCTAAAATATTGTTTTTCATTTGATAAAATTAACGAAATTGAATTCAGCATAAAATGCTTTAAATACATTAAATTAAAAATTAAATGCATTAAATTAAAATTAACGAAAATTAATTAAAATTGCAGGTAGTCGCAAATGTCTTAACTACTGAATATTTTCACAAATTTGTGGAATTCGCTGACACTATTTTAAAAAGAATATTTTTCCATATGATTGCTTATGCTCTTTTTAAAGACATGTTTTTTAAAAGGGGAATTTAATATAACTATTATTTGAGCTCATTTATTTTTATAGTTTTTTGAAGAAATTTATTTGCCTGCATTTAGAAATTAAATCTGGTTTTTTGTTTAATAAAAATTTTTGTTTCGCATGTGTAGTTTTTTTAAATTATTCTTGTAGGCGTAGTATGCATTTTTTTGAAAACTGTTATATCCATGCTCGGTTTTAAGGATGGACTAATTCAGTTAAAATCATCAATAACTTTATCTTTTAACTCCCGTAAATATTTTGACAGCATGGTGTCTTTTAAATACTTTTTATTTTTAAAAGATAGCATATGATTGGCAAAACGTTTTTTCCGTTCACTCTCTGTTATGCCAATATATTGTTTATCAGGCACATTGTTAGAGAAAACAGCAAATTTATATACCACTCATCGGACAATTGTTTTTTTTTGTTTGTTTAAAATTACAATTTTCTGTAGTTTTTTCATTTAGGATTTCATTTTGGTTTAACAAAGCATTATTGTGACCTTTTATAATTCTTTCTATATTTTATTTGACTGTAGCTAACTTTAATTGTATTTCCATTGAAAATTTTATGTAGTTTATTTGAGGGCAGGAAATGCTTATCTACCAACTTTTGGGAAAAATTTTTCTATATGCGGATTGAATCAAATTATGTTTCTAGTTTCATTTCGCTTTTTTGTATTCTTTTTCAGAGTCAAAATTTAGCTCAAGTTTTTTTTTAACATAAAAGAAGAATAAGCAATTATAACCAAAATAAATCTTTTAATAATATTGTCAGCGAAATCAATATATGTGTAAAAATTTACAGTAGTTAAGACATTTTCGACTTTTTTCTAATAAATTTTTGGTATAAATTAATGTTTTATTAATTTGATCATTCATTTATAATGAGTCTTTATTGTTGAAACACTATTATTATTATTATTATTATTATTATTATTATTATTATTATTATTATTATTATTATATTTTCTTTGCCGTATAATTAAATTTACAATGAGAAAAAACCATTCATGTATAAAAATTGGTCGGAGCAAGAAGAAGACATAAACTGTCTTATCGCCAAGCCCCGTTTACATTAACGTCACAAAGTTACAAGTTAAAAACTAAAAGTTTAAAAATTGAAATATAATACAATATTAGTTCGACAAATATAAGACACAAGTAATAAATCGAATAAATGTTATTTGCCTGTTCAAAATTAATAGTATATATATTTTTTATTTTAATAAGAAATAAACAAGTTACAAAAGACAATAGTAAATGAGTAGTGATGACTTTTTCAGGTTTAATTATTTTAGGTGATTTTAAAAGAAATTTTTAAAATAGAAAGTTTTTTCTAATGAAAAACGTTTAGATTCTCTTTTGAATTAACTAAAGGCTCTAAAGACTCTATTTAAGTGTTTAATGAAAAAATTTATGTTAAGTGATTTTCGAATTATTTATAACTGTTCTGTTCTTTTACGAACATTGAGCGATCTACTTTGTAATATACATTTTAAAAATTGTTTAAATATATATATATTTTTATTTTATAATATTCAGGTGCTCCAAGAAGATCTAACGGCATTGTCACAGAGCACCGGGGAAGTGCATTTAACCAGGAAGTTTAGGTCTCCTTCCTTACCGTGACGTGATAATATGTCCAGAGTTCGTTGCGTACCTGGATCTCCTGCTACTAAAGCAAGCGCTCTAACCTCTGCGCCATCGCCGCTTATTTATTTAAAAAAAAATTATTTTTTTTTTACTTAACTTTTGATCAACTTAAAAAAATAAATTTTTCAATTTTCTCTCTTACTTTTAAAAACACACATATGTCAGCTTATCTTTTATTAACAAAATAAAAAGGAAAACTTACATAACTAAACAACATTTTTGCTGCTTATCTAAAACATTCAAACAAACTGTAATTTTTTTTTTGTTTGCATAGTATCCGGATGGTTAAAACCTAAAACTTCACTTTGTATTTTCACAACAGAATAATAAATTTCTAAAGCTTCGTTATATTTTCCAATTTTGTTCAAACAGTTTGCGATATTATGTTTTGTTATCATTGTATCTGGATGTTTGTTACCTAAAATTTCTGTTTGCATTTTATCAACAAAATAATAAATTTCTAAAGCTTCGTCATGTTTTTCAATTTTGTTCAAACAGTTTGCGATGTTATGTTTTGTTTTCATTGTATCTGGATGGTTGATACCTAAAATTTCAGTTTGTATTTTCTCAACAGAATAATAAATTTCTATAGCTTCATTCCATTTTCCCATGTCGTCCAAACAGCTTGCAATATTATGTTTTGTTTTCATTGTATCTGGATGGTTGAAACCTAAAACGTTCGTTTGTATTTTCTCAACAAAATAATAAATTTCTAAAGCTTCGTTATATTTTCCTATTTTGGTTAAACAGTTTGCGATATTATGTTTTATTATCATTCTATCTGGATAATTTATACCTAAGATTTCAGTCTGTATTTTATCAAGAGAATAATACATCTTTAAAGCTTCGTTGTATTTTCCCATTTTGTTCAAACAGTTTGCGATACTATGTTTTGTTTTCTTTGTATCTGGATGGTTGATACCTAGAATTTCAGTTTGTATTTTCTTAACAGAATAATAGATTTCTAAACCTTTGTTATAATTTCCTATATCATCCAAACAGCTTGCGATATTATGTTTTGTTTTCATTGTATCTGGATGGCTGATACCTAATACTTCAGTTTGTTTTTTATCAACAGATTAATAAATTTCTAAAGTTTTGTTATATTTTCCCATATCTCCCAAACAACTTGCAATACTATGTTTTGTTGACATTGTATCTTGATGGTTATTACCTAAAATTTCTGTTTTTATTTTATCAACAGAATAATAGATTTCTAAAGCTTCCTTATATTTTTCCACATTGAAAACTTTTCATTATCGTCACAATTTAGTAAGGAATAACTGATTAGTAATTCAATAGTTTCTTTAATTAAATGTTCATCGCCTAATTGCATTTGGTTTAGGATTTGGATTATAAACGTTTTATTGATATTTTGACCGTCGCAATGAGATAAGCAGTTTAGTATTTTAAACGGAATAATAATAGTTTTCTCTAATTTTATTAAAATTAAATTGATTGCTTTTATTGCAGACTTTGATTCATTCTCAGTTGGAAAGTTATCAATGTTTAATATTTCTATGGGTCTTGCTCTATATCGGTCTATATACTTTGCTATTGAAATTTTATGTGTATTTATATATTTTATTGCCTGAGTAATCGCAAACGGATGATAACCGAGTTCTTTAATTAGGTTTTTTATGCTTTTACTGTTGTGTTCTTTACAGTTGTTTTTTACATAAGCGAATGCATCTTTAGAAGAAAATACATCAACAAAGGCTTTATTTACTTTGTTCGACTATGTTCTCCATTGAGATGTAATTAGTGTAAATGAATTTCGTTTACATTAAAAATATGGCGCTAAGATCACTCAGTGAGACATTCTCGTATTTAAAATCCGACATTAGTGCATTTGAAGATAAATATCTAAAAAACATTGAAGAAACTTGTTCTTCAAACGGTTTTGCCCTTTTGTCAGACACAATTGCATCCTCACATTGTGAGGATGTTGAAGGTACACTTTTTGTGGTTCTTTTTTTTTTAAAATAAGAAATGCACAATTATATACATACAACGTATAATAATATATTAATCATCAGATATACATAATTTTTTATATAATTAAATATTAGATTAAATATTTAATTATATAAAAAATTATATTATGACAACTATATATAGTTAATATACGTCAAAACTGATTAGAAATAGGATCTGTAGTAAGTTAAGACACTTTTTCAAAAAATCTTAACGAAATTTATGTTAACGTTAATTAGCGAAAGTGATATTAAGACTCCAAAATGGTATTCTTTAGATTCACTATTTGGGGTAGTAAAAAGGTTTTGAAAATTTTATTAAAAAAAGAAAAGTTTCTTCAAATATTAAAAAAACCTGACCCAAAAAAAGTTATAGCATCTAAAGCTTTCATTTGAACATAATATGCCTATAAAATCAGGCTAATTTTAAATAAAAGAATCCAATTATTTGTAAACTGCCTTAACTATACCGAGATTATAGTAAGAAATAATTAAAGAAATAATAAAAAAAAATGATAAAAGAAATAATAAAAGAAGTAATAAAAAAAACCCTAAAAAATTCAAAATAATATAAGAGATTTAAATTTTATTTTTTGAATTTTTATTTTTTTGTTGAAATGTTTGCGTCCGATAAGTCAAGCAAAAACATTTTAACAACATTTCTAAAAGAACTTATTAAGGTTATACTTTTCATATTTTTATCAAGAACTGTATTCAATAAAAAAAAGGTCCTCGATATGAAATTGAATAATCTGCTTTTGTAACTTTGGTCTTAGGTCAAATAAAGTTGTAAATGGAGCATCTCGTTAAGTGTTTATGATTAAATTTTGAAAAGTGATTTTTAAATACTTCGGAAGCATGTCATTTTAATATTAAAAAGTAGGTTTTTGCGAACAAACGATACAAATAAGAAGAAAGCTGTTTACTAAAGCAAGAAATTACGCAATACTAGCCGAAGCAAGAAATTACAATTACGCAAAACGAGTTACAAGCAAGACTTGTTGTTTTTAAGAAAGATAAAAATATATAATAATAATAATATTTAAAATATGTTTTTTTATCAATAAAGTAATTCAAAAAAAGATTTCGTTAACATTAAAAATATGGCGCTAAGATCACTCAGTGAGACATTCTCGTATTTAAAATCCGACATTAGTGCATTTGAAGATAAATATCTAAAAAACATTGAAGAAACTTGTTCTCACCAAAAAAGTTTTAATAGCTCAAATAATGATCTTAGTTCCGCAAAGTTAGTTTGAAATCTTCGTGAACGTCTATTTGCTAAAGTTCTTGAAATATTTGATTCCGAGCAATTCGATGAAATGAAGATAACTTTAGACTATGAATATCCAGTTGATAAAAATCTCCGTAAAAGATACAAAATAGCATTAGTTATATAAAATATATATTTGCTTTCCATATCATTATGCGAAAAACAATTACACAGAGAAATAGGGAAAGCAATTATATCAACAAAAAACGATGAAACTCTGCCTAGTAATAAATTTCTTGTTTCTGCATTAAAAGAATTAGAAATTGTTTTGAAAGCAATTCAAATGGAAAACAAAGAAATAAAAGAGGAACTTAGTTTTTGAGAGAGAAAAGGCTTCTTTAAATCAGTCTTATTGAAGACCTTGAAATAAAAAACGAAACTTTGAAATTAAATTGGAGCATATTCCTATCGAATCAAGTTCCAAATATAAATTTCAATTTTCATGCACAAAGTGAAAAATTTTTTTAGAGGCTGGACCTACAAAAAAACGTCATTGAACAATCTTGTGGTAAACCATGCTCAAACGTTAAAACAAAAAATCAAGTTTCAAGTATAAGTTTCAATTACCGTGAACAAATAAAAAATAAAATCTCTTATGCAGAAACTACAAAAAACATCATTCAACAATCTTGCGGTAAACCATTGTCAAACGTTGAAACAAAAATGCAACCTCTATTTTTTTATTTTTTTTTATTTTTTTTTTAATTCACCTCCTCAAGGCCGAGAAGGCCACTACAGACGAGGAGGCTACTTATTTGTGGTTATAACCCTCTCTCAATTCTATAACTCCGAAACACGAACCTTGACGAATAAGGCCGCTGCGCGGAGAAGCGAGTTAAGCGCGGTACTACCAGAGACGTGGTGGAGATCGAACTCAGAACCACTCGTTTATGAAGCGAGCGCTCTACCACTACACCACTACCGCATTATTTCAAAAACCTGTGCAAATTCCTCAGCTCAAAACCAATCAACATCATGTTTTTTCTATATAAATAATTTCAAAAATTCTAAAAACACAATAAACGATGTCGATGATTTAAACAATTTTATCTTAGTAGGTAGATACAAAAAACCTTCCGGTCAAGAAACAAATTTTTCCTTGGAAAAAAAATATAAAGCTCTCCAGCCTATTTTCGGCACTAAAATTCCAGAAAAAAATACAAGAGCTCGCCAATGAATAGTTCGTCAATTTGAACTTTTTGTTGGAGGCGTTAGCAATCAAATAAATAAGGAGGATTTAAAACGCTATATAAAAGCGGAAATAGGTGTCACAATTATATCAGTTAATTTAAACAAAGAAAATCAGTACAACAGATCTTTCAAAGTTTCAATAAACAGCTCTGACAAAACAAAAATATTTAACTCTGGTCTATCAGATAACAATATATTAGTTAAGCCATTTCGAAAAAAGCGTTTATATTCGAACATTGCCCAAAATCTGGTCACCAATGGAAACCAAGAAACCTTTTATAAATAAAAATAGATCCGATCAGCCCATTAAAAGAAGACATACTTCCGATAACATTTAAATTATGTACTTTTAACTGCCATGGACTTAAGTCAAACATTGAATATACTCAATCGTTAATAACTTCTCATGATTTAACTTTTATATGCGAACATTGGTTATCAAAACTAGAATATCATATTATAAAAAATATTTGTAAAAATACTCACTCCTGATACTTCCACCAGGCAAATAAACACGAGCATGGTCGACCATTTGGCGGAAATGCATTTCTGGTTCGAAAAATTTTGTTTCAAAATGTCATTATTCTTTACGAGGATGATCATATTTTTCTAATAAACCTTATTAAAAATAATACTAACATTATCATTATTGGTATTTATCTCACTTCATCGTGAAATAATCGAACATCTTCGGATGAATATGAGAATCACTTCTTTAATTAAAAAGACATAATTAAAAGCTTTAGTAAAAACTATGAATGTGTTGGCGAAGTAATTGTACTTTGTGGTTTTCAATCGTTTCCTAACGGAATATATGATTTATTAGAAAGATCGAACTTCACAAAAAGTAATTACTCTACGGCTTTATCAGTATTTATAAAAACAAATGATTTTGAATTAGTAGACCTAATTAAAGGTTTTGGCCGGAAAATAACGTATCAACATCATACACTACCAAACGCATCTTACATTGATCACATAGCTCTCTCAAGGAATACTTCTCTTCAGTATGATAATTGTATTGTAGCTCATTTTTCATCTCAAAATATGAGTGATTGTTTGTCAATATTAATTGTAAATGGACTCAGAGGCCAATCTCTCTGTGAAAAAGTTACAAAATTATAGACAATAATCACGACAAGAAAATTTAATGCAAGCCATATATGGCATTTCCATGTTAACAATATGCTTACTACTCTTCTAAATGGGATGGCGTTGATGCGTCCTATATGTGGCTATAATGTTTATCCCACTAAAACCACACTAAATAATAATGAAAGCCGCGCTTCATTTGTGCGTGAGAAATTTATGTGGCCTACGTGTGGAAAGCACATGTTAACCATATATTTACCACTCTCCTTAATGGGATAGTGTTGATGCGTCCCATATGTGGCTATAATATTTATCCCACTAAAACCACACTAAATAAAAACGAACGCTACGCCTCTTTTGTGCGTGAAAGTTTTATGTGGGCCACATGTGGGAAGCACATGCTAGCCATATATTTACTACTCTTTCTTATGGGAGGGCGTTGGTGCGTTTCATATGTGGCTTTAACGTTTATCTCACTAAAAACATACTAAATAAGAGCTAACGCCACACTTCGATTGCATGAAGAAGTCATATTTGTTCCTACATTCTTTTATCTATCGAATTATTATATCCTATCAGTTTGCCCCTACATAACCAATAATACACTATAGAAAACAAAATTGTCACAAGAAGAATAAATTAAATAGATAAACTAAATATACAATTGAACCAAATCGCAATAAAATAACGCAAATTTGTATTGATAAGTATCAATAGGGTTTATAAAATCTTAAAAACGTACTAACAATTTTAAATTTTTAAAAAATCATTCAATTTATTTAAGAACGGTATTTTAAAGTAACTTAACTAAACTTGTAAAAAAAACTATAGTAGTTAATCATCAAAAAAAACTTAATGTGTTAAACCATAAAACTATAATATCCAAAATATGAAAGTTGCAATTCTCGATTCTATCTTGTTAATGTTGCGACTTATTTGGCTTTATATAAATACTTAACAAACGAAAGCTCAGATATATATTTCTTTAATTTGAAACCAAGCATTTTTTGGTTTTTTTTTTTCTTAGGGGAATTTTTTTTTAAGGAAATTTTCCTCGGGGGATTATTTTGGGGAGATTTTTCCAGGCAGGTTTTTTTCTAAAAACCTGTTTTTTTAAAAAATCTTCTATATAATATTGCCAAACTTAATAGTAGTAGTGTCCCTTGGAGCGTATTTGACACGAAACCCTTGGCAGCCATTGCAACCGAGGTATTGGCAAGAAAGAGTTGCAGCACTATCAGAATACGTGAACGAATATCTAACCTACGTAAACTTTAAACTAAGTAATGTTAAAGCATATGTTAAAACATACTGAAACATTTATTATGTTTTACAGTTTGATTTTTACTTGAAAACTACATTGCGTCAACCTCTCCTTAATTTTGATCTAACATTTTTTTTTTCAAAAATTACTACATTATTATAAAATCTACACTTGATGATATGCCGGTGTAGCTCGAGTGGATAAAGCGGCGAACTTCTAAAAAAAGGAACTAGAGGTTATTTATTCCTACCAATGGCGGCTGTTTTTTTTATTTTTTTTAATTATTTTAAAATACAAAACACTTTTGAAGTTTTATAAAGATTATATACAAACATATGTAACGTAACAATGTTATGCACTCACAAAAGAAAAGATTTTAAGAAAGCTAAAACTTCATAAAACATGTAATTAGTCCTAATAAGCTCCGGATGGTCTGAAAAAAAAGTTGTCTGAAACTCAATAAAGACAAAACTTAACAAGACAGCCCTGCTACTTCAGAAGGTGCTGCTGTGGAGGCAAAAAAAAAAAGCCTGTAGCTTGATAAAACTTTGAAACTTTCTTTTGACAATTAAAAGTTTATTTTGCTACATTAACTTTTTTGCTATAAATATATGCAGCAACTGTTTTTCAAAACGCCTTAATATGCTTATGACGCAATTCAAAAAAAAAACGCAATTAAAAATAAAACTGTTTGGAAAAACTCTTCGTAAAACGTTTTTTGAAACGAATAACTTTTATTTAGTTTTTTTTTTTCTTTTGTGCAACTTTTTTTTCAATAAACTTCTTTACCTTTCAGAATATAACCATTTTTAACAATGCCATAGAAAAAATATCAGTAAATTGATTAGTAGTATTTCAATTATATTAGTTAGATTAATATATATATATATATATTAAATTATATACTATATATATTAAATTAAATAGATAATTAAATTGATATACATTTAATACATGTGTGTTTTTTTTGTTGAAAAAACTTAGACTAATGAGATAGGTCGTTAAGTAGAATGCTAATAATATATTTATGGCGGTTATTGTTGTTAAGGGTGATTAATAGGCAAATAAATTAAAAGCTAATCAGGGTTTTGAATAAATTATAAACTAATCAAGGAAGTTTTATGTGTAAACCTAGTAAATAGGAAAATAATATATAATTTAGGTAGACATTGTTTTCACTTTTTCGCCAAACTTTGATATCTTTGATATTAAAAAATATGACCTTTTCAATAAATATAGATGGTAGTGTATTAACCTTTTTTTTCGGAACCACAATCCGTAATGATTTGTATTTTATCAATGTGAATGAAAGTCTATTCAAATATCTAAATATGTAAACTTCAAGTTCTTTAGTTATCAATCAGTATTATTATAAAGTACATGACATCAAATTCTACCGATTTATTTTTACTTAAAAATTTCATTGCGACAATATCTCTTTATTTTAAAGCATTAAATGTTGTTTTAAAAAGTTTAATAAGTTTTCTGTTTATTAAATAGTGTAAAAAGATGATATAGCATTCCAAAACGATTGAGTGCTTCGCTTGGGTTCAAAACTTTTTGCTTACACAATTTATTTTTTAAATCTTTTCCAGTTTTCTAGAAAACAAAGAAAAACAAGTTTAAATGCATATAGATGTTAAACGCATTACATATAAATAAAGATATAATATACTATAACAAACCAAATGGAGAGATTTTTTTAAAACGTTTTTTAAAATTTCTAAAAACATGAAAACGCTGTTGGAAACTTGTTGCGCATATATCATGATAGAGATACTTATGTTTTAGGTAATTAGTTAAGTCTGCGAGTTCAACACACATTAAAGAGATATCTTTCTTTCTTATATATATAAAAAAAGGTTTTACATGTAAACTGAAATTTTTATTAAAACTAACTGGTCAAGAGTCCTAAAAAGTACGGAAAGGTATGAAAAAAAAAATTGTATTCTGAAACCTAAAAAAATAAAAATTTAGTTACTCCAGAAGGTGACAAACAGAAAACCCACAAAACTTCGCCTAATCCGCTAATAGAAATGCTCGAATATTAAGATATAAACAAATATTAAATGATTTTTGTATTACGAAACGAAACTCTTAAACCACTGTAAAACTACCTTGCGGTTATCTAATTAAATCCACCAAATCCGTTAATAAAAACAGCTTAACTAATAGATTCAAAACCATCTGATTTTTGTATTATGATATGTGCGCCAACTGCACTCTAAAACCAATAAAACTCGGCCATGTGGTCTTCATATCGATTATAACAATTGCAAAGCGAGGGACTACAAGTAAATTGTATCTACAAGTTTAACTATTGTAATCTCCATTTAAAAAATTAAACTTTTTTTATAATTACCATGTTAATATGTTTGAAGTTAATATGTTTTTGACCCAAGAATAAACATTAAGATTATTTTTTAGAAATGAGCAGTCAAGATACAGAAGGTTAAAATATTCTTTTTATTTTGTATAACATTAGTTAATTAAAGAGATAAAAAGAGATGATACATCAATAATACTGAGATATTTAGCTTATTATTTTATTAAGAAATTACATTGAGATAATTTTGTATATCTTTAGGCGACGAAGAAGTTTCTGCATTTTTTCGAAGTAAGCCATACATATATACTATATATAGTAGCAGTTACATATGTTCTAAAAGTGGCGGAGCTGTACTTGGTTCACGTGTGAATAAAACGAAGATTTATTTTAGCCGTTTTTAATTGAAATCAACCAAGATATGCCGCCCTCCCCTTACCCCGTTAATCAAGTACACCGCCCTAAAATTTAACTAAAATTAAAAATATATAAATTCATTTTTAGAACTTTAAAAGAGTGGACCCGAAACTCAGTTTTTGTTTATTCCGCTATTTTGATTGATGTTTTTGTAAAGCAGTGAACTTTAAAAACGCGTATAAGTTTTATTTAAGGTGTTTAAGCTATAATTTTAGAAACGTGTTTAAGCTAAAATTGACTTTTAAGTCTTTTAACTACTAAACTTTTACGTAAAATGAAAGTTTTGGTCATTTACTGAATGTATTAAATTATAAAACTATGCAACAGTTTTATAATTTAAGACAAATCTTATATGTTTAATTGAAAAAGTGAATATTTTGAAAATTAATTTTGTCTCTATATATATTAGATGTTCAAGAGATCAGAGCCGAAGAGCTCTTGCCAAGTAAGCTAACTTTGTATGAGAAGGATATGTTACAAAGATATATATTTCACCAATTTCAGCAATTTGTTAATTATAACTTTTTTTTAATGTTTAGCGGAAGTAATAGACAAGCTAAGTCCGGAATTTTTTTTTTTTTTTTTTTTTTTGTGTGCAAATACAGTTATGCTTTTTTAGTTTTTTTAAAGTTATTTAGCAAGTGACTTTTGTCAGTTGTGACAGTTTGTCAGTCAGCAAGTGACTTTTGTAACTTTTAAATTTATTTTATTTATAAAAATTAGAAGATTCTGTTGAGAATCTAAGTAAACAATTTGTTATTGTTGTTATCATGCTCTTTATTTTTTTTTACTACATATTTATTTAACATAAAGTTATTCTATATATGGCAAGTTAGTTTATTTTAATGTTTATAAGTTTTTCATTTTATTTAAAAAAAATTGAACATTCAATGGGTAAACAGAATTTAATTATATTTCATTTGTGTATTATAGATAAAGATATAGCATTTTACTTTCAAAAAAAAAGGTCTACTTTATGGTCTTTTAGCTTTTTTGATACAATTTTTAGCATTTTTTTATAGGGCTTATATTTCAACAACAAGGTAAGTTACTATAATGTTCTTCTGGATTGTTTCTTTATTTTTTTTTATTTTTTTTTTTGTCACTTTTTTCTTTTTCTTTTTTTTTTTGGTTTGTTTTGTTTCGTGATTGTTATTTTTGGCTTTTGTTTTGTTCCAACTTTATTTATAGATTTCATTATGTTGACAAATATTCTGCATGTTAGTTTCTTTCTTAATGTTAATGATTTTTTTTTTATTCTATTTAGAAAAATTAGAAAAATCAATTGGTAAGCAAAGTTCACTTATGTTTCATTTTGTTTAATTTTAACACACATTTTTGTAATGTTTGTGTGCGGTTTTATCACTGTAAAATACATTGTTTAACTGATTAGTATATATTAGTTTATGTAAATATATTTTTTACCTCCACTATAGCATTATCTGCAGTACCATCAGGTAATGTGTTTTACATTTTCGTGCAGTTTTAAGAGTGTTAAGTGTGTTAAAACTTAAAGATAGCATATCTTAATTTACAGATTTTTTTATTTATTTATTTTTTTGTCTCTACATTAGCACCTCAAGCAATAATATTAGGTAATCTGTTTAGCATACTTATGCAGTTTTATGAGTTTTATGTGTATTGAAACTTAAAGATTACTTTTTTCATGTTTGTATGCAATTTCATAAATGTTTAACATATGTTACTTTATACACTTTTTTTTTACCTCCGCAATAGCATCAATATCATCTGCAGTACCATCAGGTAATGTGTTTTGCATTCTTAAGCAGTTTTATGAGTGTTATGTATATTGGAACTTAAACATTACTTTTTTCATGTTTGTATAAAGTTACATAATTGCTTAACATATGTTACTTTATACACATTTTTTTCTCTACCTTTACAATAGCATCAATATCATCTGCAGTACCATCAGATAATCTGTTTTGCATGCTTATGCAGTTCTTTGGGTTTTATGTGTATTGAAATTAAACATTACTTTTTTCATGTTTGTGATCAATTACATAAATGTTTAATATATGTGTTTGCTTATAAACTTTTTTATTTATTTTTGCAATAGCAACAGTATCAACTGCAGTCCCACCAGGTAATGTGTTTTCTATATTTTTGCAGTTTTTCCATACTTATGCCGGGTTAATGTATATTGAAACCTAAACATTACTTTTTTCATGTTTATATGCAATTACATAACTGTTTAATATAATAATGTGTTAGTTCATATACTTTTTTATTTATTTCCATAATAGCAACAATATCTGCAGGACCATCAGGTAATCTGTTTTGCATACTTATGCAGTTTTATGGGTGTTATGTGTGTTTGTGTATATATATATATATATATATATATGAAATTTAAACATAGCATATCCTTATTTTTACATTACTTTATTTACTTCTTTTTTTTGTTATAACTTTTTTTTTTAAAGTCTAAATAGTTTGAAATAATATTTTTATTGGTTGTTTTGTGCAGTATTGTATTCAAATATTTTTTTTTTGTTTTTGTTTTTTAGCATCGCATTAAGATTTCCTGCGATATCGCTCCCAGCACCCAGGTCCGATACCTCAAAGAGCTTTCTACTAGTGGTGTCAATATGGTGAAGATGATCCCTCCTTTAGATGGAGGAGACAAGCCCCATATGACACCACTGGTAGAAGAAGGGGTGATGGGAAGCGATTTAACATTTTTAATTTCTACCAGTAGCTTTTTTAAGCTACTGGTAGAAATTTTCTTTTGTATTAACTTTTATTTGTTAAGTGTTATAAAGTTTTTGAAAGATTTGGTAAATATATTTAAAATTTTTCTTTTTCTATGATACCTGTTTAATATGTCTAATATATGGACTCTTTACCTATTATTCTCTTTACATTATTCTCTTTAGATATATTATAAAATAATATTAATCGTCGCCAAAATGAAAGAAATGAGGATAGACGAGAAGAAATTAATCGTCGCCAAAATGAAAGAAATGAGGCTAGACGAGTATTACTTAGGCGTGGAATGCATTGCGTAGCAAGAAATAATGTTATTATAGAGAGTAATTACTTAGGAGAAATGAACCATAATTGTCAGTATTGCGGTGCTAAAAATTTTTTAAATGAAACACATTTTTTGTGCTGCCATTCAGGAAAGGTTGTCTTACCTCCATTTTCATCTTATCCACCGCTGATGGTTGATTTAATGACAGGCAACCATATTGATTGTGCTTTGAATCAAAATTTTTTCAAGCATCTACGAAATTATAATGCCTGTCTATCTTTTGCTTCATTCATAGCCACAATAGATCCTCCGTCAAATCGTGGTCCACCCTGTTTTAGAATTAGTGGGCAAATTATGCATCGTATTGGTAATCTAAGACATCAGCAAGGGAATCCACCTGCTTATTGTCAATTATATGTTTATGATCCTAATACTGCTTTAAACTTTCGAATGGAGCAAAATGATTGTTGCATACGTGAGTTAATGGAACTTTTGCAGGCTATAATTAATCAGGAGAACCCATATGCGCTTGCATTTAAAAACATGGCAGAAGTTGAAGATGCAGAAATCATTTTTTGCAGACTATAATTAATCAAAAGAATCCATATGCACTTACATTTAAAAATATGGCAGAAGTTGAAATTTGTTAAGCTGCTATAGAAGGTCGACCGATTTCTGTTGTCAAAATGTCGTTGCTTGAGGGTTGTGACAGACGTCGATACAATCTTCCATCACATGAAGAGGTTGCCATTGTGTTTGTAGGAAATGATGGTGCTTCACCTTTATCTAGAGAAGTTGTTATTTATCCTCGAGGTCAACCCTTAAAAACAATTTTAAGTATATCTGCAAATCTAGATCCTATGATATATCCAATATTTTTTGCAAGAGGTGATGCAGGATGGCATGATCAACTAGAGCACAATCCTAACCGAGCAACACGTGTTCGAAATCGTGTTACTTTGTCTCAGTACTACAATTATAGGCAGTCTATTAGACAAACGCTCAGTCCTATATTTTATGGTAAGAAGCTTTTGCAACTGTATGCTGTTGATGCATATATCAAGATTGAAGGACAGCGCCTTGCTTTTATCAGAAATAACTAAAACAAACTTAGAAGTGAACAATACGACACATTACATGAGTATGTAAATAATGTTGCAAATAACCTTAATGTAAAACCGGGTCGTGTTGTTATACTACCATCCTCATATGTTGGAAGTCCAAGAGCTTTAAAAGAACATTTTGAAGATGCAATGGCAATTATAAAGAAATATGGTAAACCAGATCTTTTTTTACTTTTACCTGTAATTCAAAATGGAGAGAAATTACAGAAAATTTAAATCCAGGAGAGAGCGCAACTGACAGGCCTGATTTAGTTTGTCGCGTATTTGAGATGAAACTTAAATGCTTCTTAGGTGATATTTTTAAACATGGAGTCTTAAGCAAAGTTGTAAGTCATGTACAGGTTATTGAGTTTCAAAAACGTGGTTTGCCACATGTGCATATTTTATTACACTTTGCAAATGGTGATAAGCTAGAAACAGCAGAGGATATTGATAGTTTAATATCAGCTGAAATTCCAGATCAAACTGTTGATCCTAAACTTTTTGAAATTGTAAAAACATGTATGATTCATGGACCATGTGGGATTTTAAATCCCAATTCTCCTTGCATAAAAGATGGAGTTTGCACAAAGAGTCCTAAAGAGTTTAACCCTCGCACTGTTGCAATTTTCAATGGTTATCTAAACTACAGGCGTTTAGATAATGGAAGAGTAGTCATTATAAAAGGTAACCAAGTTGATAATCGATGGGTCGTACCCTATAACCCCTGGTTATCAAAAAAGTACCAAGCCTACATTAGTGTTGAAGCTTGCAAGTCAGTGAATTATTTATACATATATTTCTATAAGGGGCATGATTGTGCGAATGTGGTAATTAATGAAAGTGTTGACCATAATGAAATTAACACATATTTAGACTGTCGCTTTGTTTCCGCCCCAGAGGCTCTTTGGCGAATATATGAGTATTCCATAAGTGATACGTCACATACTATTATCCACCTTCAAATCCACCTTCCTGATAATCAGAGACTATATTTTAACGAAGGAGAAGAACAAGTAGCTACAGACCGTGGAGCACAGCGTGACACTCACCTAACTGCTTCGTTTAAGTTAAATGCTGAAAATAATGAAGCACGTCAGTATTCTTATGTTGAAATTCAATATCACTTTGTTTTTGGTAAAAATTGCAAGTGGAAAGTAAGACAAGAGGTAGTGATAAGGTGGTTGTTCGAATGTATAAAGTCAGTTCATTTTGCGAATTATTTTTTCTCAGATTGTTATTTTTGCATGTAAAAGGTGCAAAGTCTTTTGAGGATTTGTGCACTGTTAATGGTACTGTTTTTAATACATTTCGTGAAGCATGTTATCATTTAGGTTTATTGCAAGGAGACTTTGAGTGGAGAAATACATTAACTGAAGCTGCTGCAACTCGGATGCCTAAACAAATCAGGCTACTGTTTTCCATCATGTTAACTTTATGTGAACCTGATGATCCTTTACACCTTTGGAATATATGTAAAAGTTATATGATTGAGGATTACATACACCATTAAATGCCAGTCGTACTTGCTGAGCAGACAGCTCTTTGTCAAACTGAATCTATAATTAATCAGAGTGGTAAAACCTTAGCTGATTATAATTTGCCAGTTTTAGATCAGTTTTTAGATAATGTCCCAGAAAATGATGATAAAGATGTTCTGGTGTTTATTGATGAAGCAAACCGACTTAGACCATTATTAAATGATAATCAACGTAATGTAGCTGATGCGATCCTTGCTGCACTAGGTGTGAAACCTACTAATGAAAATAAGCATTCAAGGTTGTTTTTTATGGATGGGTCTGCCAGTTGTGGTAAAACATTTACTTACAATTATTTAATTGCTGAAACACGAAGCAGGCATATTAGAACTGCAACAGCTGCAAGGACAGGAGCAGCTGCAAGTCTTCTCAAAAATGGGTGCACAATGCATGGCTTATTCAAACTTCCTGTTCCAATTTTGGAAACTAGCACATGTAATGTAACTCCAAATTCTATTCATGGTAGATTCCTGAGACAAATCAGATTGTATTTACTTGATGAAGCATCTATGATACCCAAATATGCTTTGATTGCCATTGATAAGCTGTTACAAGATATTTGTAATAACAACTTTCCTTTTGGTGGTAAGGTTATTCTTATGGGTGGAGACTTCAGACAAATACTTCCAGCTGTGAAGCGGGGTCGACCAGCAGAAGTTATAGAATCATGTTTAAAATGTTCTGAGCATTGGCAATATGTGCAAAGGTTCTCAATAACTGTAAATATGAGGGTTCAGATAGAAGGAGAGGAATTTTCTCAATGGCTTTTAAAGCTTGGAAGTGGAACATGTATTAAAATACCTGAGCAGTGCTTTTTCAGTGATAATGAATCTATTGTAGAGAAGATTTTTGGTGGCGGAGAAGAAGCTGATTATGCAAAACGTGCTATTTTAACGCCAACAAATGTTAATTCATTGGCAATAAATGAAGAAGTCCTTCTTCGTTTACCCGGTGATGTGAAAACATATTTAAGTTCAGATAGCATTGAAACTGATGATCTTAATGAAATTAATAACTTTCCAGTCGAGTTTTTAAATAGTTTGACTCCATCAGGTATGCCTGTTCATTGCCTAAAATTAAAAAATGGTTATAATGCTACTTAAAAATTTAGATCTCAAAGGTGGACTTTGTAATGGAACCTCTTTGAAGGTGCGTGCATTACACAACAGTTACATTGATGATGAGGTTTTAACAAGTGTATCAGCTGGTAACAGGGTATTTGTTCATCGAGTTCAATTAGCTTCATCAGATGCAAATTTACCTTTTACATTTAAACGCCGTCAGTTTCCAGTTAGGTTAGCATACTCAATGACCATAAATAAAAGTCAAGGTCAAACATTTGAAAAAGTTAGTGTTTATCTCAAAAAGCCTTGCTTTTCACACGGCCAACTATATGTTGCATGTTCAAGAACAAGATCATTTAATAGTTTATTTTTCAAAGTTGATAAACATCCATTACAAAGTTGTCATTTAACAAACATTACACAAATAATGTTGTCTTTACAAAAAATTCTTAATTTATAATTTTCACAAGTATATTATGTGTTAAGATGTTATTTATATTTTTTGTATGTTTTTTTTTTTTTTTGCAATATGTGTATATAAATGTATGTGTTAATATGCGTTTATATATCTTTATTTATATTTATGTGCTTAAGTTTATACAAGTTTATATTAAGTTGTTTCCATGTGAAAAGTGGTGTTACTTGGCAACATGTAGTGCAAGATTGTGATTCTTGCTAGACAAGCGGTGTTACTAATTAATGGTGTTACTTGGCACTTTATGCCAAGCGTTGATAGCACTTCCAACCAAACTTAAGTGTATTCACGTTAATAGATGTAAAATACTTTGCAAAAAATTGATGTTGTTAAAGCTTAGGAACAAATACTTCAACAAAGTGTTTTTCCTAACCTGAATTTTTTTAGACATAACAAAGTTAAACTCTTCAACAGCTTTTAAATATTTATCTGAAACAACAAAAATCCTGCCTACACTACTGGTGTTATTGTTTGTCATCCTGTAATGTTGTTGTGATGTTTTGTGTTGATAGACAGCTTGGCTTACGTTCACGTTGGTGTCTATCGTTAAAAATGATTATTGGGTAGCTTAATTACTGAAACTTACTCCTAATCATTCACTAAAAGCCAAGAAATATTTTAAGAAAAAATGCCTATTTTTTTTGTGTCAGTAAGAATTTTTATCTTTAGCAATGCTGATAAAACTAAATTTTTAAAAAAAAGAGTATTACCAGCCTTCCAATTAAATATTAGAGACTTTTACAAAAGCACTCCAATATTTATTTTGTCTAATATTTATTTAGTATTATTAAATTTTGTTTCGTATTTTTCATTTTTCAAATGAATTAACATAAAACAAATAAATGTGCATTTAGTGTTATCAATAATGATTTTATTTCAGTTTTAGATAATGCTTTTATAATCAATTTAAAAGCCTTTCAAATCGTTAATCATTTTCTAATGTTGAAGAAGAAGAATCATCAATCTTCAAACCATTTAATAAAGCTATTTTAATAAAACGCAATACAAATTGTTGTAAATTAGTATTTGAATAATTTGCGTGTGAATAATTTTCACGTTGTTACCTTATTTTGCAGTTTCCTAACACTGTGTATTGAATTAACTAAATCCAATATTACAGTTCCTTATATCAAGTACTTCACATTTTTTGTTTTTGTTTTATGCAGAAAAACAGATCAAGTTAATTTATTTGACTTGCCTAGCTACTTATTTTACACGCATATCCACAGTGAGTGTGCATAAATCAACAGAGGTTTTGGGTTTGGGCAGGTTGTTTTGAACTAAATGACTTACCTTCTTCATGTTAAGCTCTAAATATAAATATACGGAAAAGGTGCATATGTGAATTTTGTTTTTCTAGCACACAATCTATTGTTCACTAAAAAATATTAGAGGGAGAAATAGAGATAAGGTTAATCCCAGTAAGCACAAAGACGTTTAAAAGACGTTTTAAAGATGTCTTTAAGGAGGTCTAAAAGGCGCACTTGTAGACGTCTAGATCATAAGGCTAAATGACGTCTAAATGAAGACGTCTTTATAAAAACGCGTTTTAGACATATTTTAGACGTTTTTTTCAAGATGATTTTAAGTACATGACGTAACATTTTCGCGTAGTATGTGGTATATATTCATTGTATTTATAAAATCATATATTCTTAAAATTTCGTATATACAAAATATTCATAGGAACCAGCAATCAAAATAAAATTGCTGTAATCACCACAAACGGTTGATGCATCAAAGATGAAAATAATAAATAACAATAACAAATATATATCAAAGCAGTAGTTAAAATATTTAAAACTTACCTTTAGTTATAATAAACTTTAACATAGATATTGCTATATAATTTTTGACCGCATACTTGAATTATCATATGGCTTGTGGGTGTATAAAAACTAAAAATACTGATATTTAACTTATATATTATTCTTGCCATTTTCACTTATTATCATGATCAGTCAACTATCTATTAAAAAAGCAAAATATTTATTAATAAAAAAAAGATATATTAATATTATAGCAATTATTTTAGTGATTCCTGTGACAACAATTTTAGCAATTGTGTAAAAAAGTAATTTAATTTAAAGTAATTTACACTTAAAACTTAAACAAGTTATTGATAATAATAAAAACTATGTTTTTACTTTGAATATACGACATCTACTTAACGCGTAATGACATAGCCGTCAAAAAGAAGTCATAATGACATATTTATAAACAGGTCTCAGAAAAGACGTCTTTTAGCCTTGATCTAGACGTCTTTTAATGCGTCTTTTAGACTATTTATTATGCGTCTTTTAAACGTCTTTTTAAACTTTTAAAAGACGCATTTTAAACGTCATTTTAAAATTGCATTTATTAAAGACGTCTAGAAAATGTCTTAAAAAAATATATCTTCTATACGTTTTTTTAACGCTTAAATAGACGCCTTTTGAACGTCATTTTAAAAACGCCTTTATAAAAGACGTCTAGAAGATGTCTTAAAAATTGACGTCTTCTAGACGTCTTTTTATCTTTTAAAAAGACGCCTTTTAAACGTCATTTTAAAAACGCATTCAGTAAAAGATGTCTTCAAAACGTCTATAAAAGTGCGTCTTTACCTAGACTAGTTTTAGACGTCTATAAGTATCTAAAATGCGTCTTGTGCTTACTGGGATGTGGAATAGAGTTTGTCCTTTTAAGTGAAAAACTATTTTATAATCTATCTATCTTCTATATAATAATGCCGAACTTAATAGTAGTGTTAGTAGAAAGAGTCGCAGCACTTTTTTTAGAAGAAAACGTGTATGCAAAAATCTAACGTACGTAATTAAGTAATAATAAAACATACTGAAACGATTTTCAAGTTTTATAGTTTGACTTTGACCTAAAAATTGCATTGCGTCAACCTCTCCTTAATTTTTGATCTACAGCAGTTCCGTTAAAAACAATTTTTATATATTTTTAAAATTTCGATATTTGATGTGTCAACATGCCCGAGTGGTTAGCGCGCTAAGCTTCTGAACGTAATAGTCGTGGTTCAAATTTACCACCAGCAACTTTTTTCTTTAAATTACAAAATATTTGTGAAGTTAAACAAGTTAAATGTTATACACTTTAACCGTTTTTTCTTTTTAAATTTTATAAATTTTTTGGATTTCTTAAAATACCAATAAACGGGGCGAAAATTTGTTGCGTGTGTGTCATGATTTTGATACCGTTCTCACATAATTGGTCCTAATAAGCTATGGATAGTCTTAAAAAAAAAGTCCTAAAACCTAATAAAGAAAAAATTTGATAAAACCGTCCTGCTACTCCACATGGTATTGCAGTGGAGGCAGGGAAAAAAAAGCAATTAAAAGGTTTTTTGTTATATTTAATTTTTTGCTCTAAATATAGCAAGATCAAAAAAATTAAAAAAAATGTAGTGAGATTTTTTAAGCGCGGATTTGAAGCCTTGCACAGCGACTCTGATGACTGCGCACTTAACTTGTCAGTTATTAAAGTTATGCATGAAGTTAGGCGCTTCAACATTTTTTCAAAAATGTAAAATGAAAACAAAATGAATACCATAAGTAAGACCTAAATAATGACGTTTAAAAATTACCAAACTTTTTGTTATATTATTATTAGTTTTTCAACTTTTAAACCACAAAATTTATAATTTATTTTTTTGCATGACTTTTGACGCTTTAAGCGACTAACGTTTTAAGGAATTGCATTACTGTTTCTGTCTAATACAAAGGTAACTATAAAGACCGTTATTATTCAAAACTAAGCATATAATAATAATAAATATAGTAAATAGTAACTATTGAAAATAGCTAGGACGCGACAATAAACCATGGTCCATGGCTGGTCTAAAAGTAGGAAGTAGTTTAGTTCAGAATTTTTTTTTTTAAATAAATAAACGGGGTTTAATAAGCTATATACGTATGCGGAAAAAGTGCGTATGTTAAAGTTTTTTTTTGCTCTCAAAGCAAATTTTTTTAATGAATTTTTTTCCACCATTTACTAAAAAATATTGAAGTAAATAAGGAACAAGTGAATAAATGATTGGCGTGGAATAGATAAATATAGAAGTAGAAGAAAAGACCTGTATTTACCGATACGGACTAGATTAAGAAAATAAGGGAAAAGGTTTGTGTGGAATAGACTTACAAAGACCCATATTTTTACGAATCAATTCAGCTAGTTTAAATTAATGCAGAAAATATAATGCGCTTCAATTAAAAAGTGTGACTGCTTGTTTACCTATACTATTTTTATTGACGCATTACTATACAATATATTTGCGGTTGCGGAAATTTGCGCTATTTTAAAATATTTCGTTGTTTCAGTATAATATAAATTTGTGTTCGTTAAGTATAACTCTGATTTACAAATTTTATAGAAAGTTTAATTAGAAGAACAATTCTATGTTGCATGTTCAAGAACAAGATCATTTTTTCCTTTTTTTTTTTTTTACAAAATTATAAACACTCACAGATTTTTATAATATTATAACATTAAGTAGAAGTCTTAACATACTTAGGTTTTTGTTTTTTATTTTATTTATTTACACTTTTTCTTTTATATATATTTATTTTTATCGCTGAAACATACTTCAACAGTTAAAAATTGAAAATTATAAAAACAATAAGCCACATGGTATCATGGAATATTCAAGAGTTTACAATCCATTGCGATAGAATTACTACAATTGGTTAAAACTCAAAATTCAACATGAGGCAAGATCGTGAGTTTTATATGTATGGCCCATATGATAGCCACATCAAATTTAGCACGTATTTGTATAAGGATTATGTGTCATTAAGTGGAATAGT